ATAATTAATAAGTTCATTGTAATTCAATATTTTCAAGTTAATCAATTTTATGATAATGAATATTACTATAATAAGATATAATGAATATTTAATATTCAAAACTTAATTTTTTTTATTATTTTTTAATATATACAATAATGTTTTCATAGTACATAATTTTAGACTAATGTATGGTTTCATTGGTCTGTATGTATTACTTCTATGCAAAGAAAAACAATGATTGGTAACTGTAATTGTTATATTACAAAAGTAGAAGTAGCAGTAATATAGAACAACAGAAAAACTTTTTTTTAAATATATGTATATAAAAAATACAATAATAATTTAAAGAGGTGTATTATGGACAGATATTGAATGTTAAATATTTCTTTATACTAATAATAAAAAACCTGAACATTTCATACAACGCCATCTAGTCCCAAGCTATGGGTAGACAACTAATATATATCTTTATGTTCGCGCTGGTCTTTGCCTCATACTGGGAATCTATAGCCAAGCATTTAAAAAATAAAAAGAAGCCGCGTTACTTGTTCGTATTGCCGCCTTTAGCGCATAAAACAACATAAATTTAATGTTAATATTCTTCTGCTGTCATTTGGAAATTAAATACAAGAAAACAAGAAAAGTCAGTATGTGTCAGACATGGTCAGTGTGCATTTTTTATTCCACGTGCCTATTATTCGAACAACTTAAATACATTTATTATGTAAATACATACATAATACAAATAGCAAACTCCTAAAACAATATTATATGAAATTTGACATTGTTTACTGTATTAATAATGAGAATAATAATAGTATTAACCCTGGGCAATTCACACAACGCCGTCTTGTCTCAAGTTAAGCAGTGCTTGTGTTATAGGTACTAGACAACTAATATAAATACGTCGACACATTTAAATAATAAATAAATAACCCTGGACAGTTTACACAGCGCCATCTAGACCCATGTTAAGCTAGCTAAAGCTTGCATTATGGGCACTAGATAACTGATACAAATTATATAAAAAAAACATCTATTAAAAAGAGCAACACACAAGTTTCTTGCTCATTCTTCTTGTGATGAATCTGCATTCCGAATGAGTTGTAGAATCAAAATATGACTATTCAAAAGTGCTTGTAATGAGTTTATTTGAATAAAGATTATTTCTATTTCTATTTCTATTTCTAAATACATAGATTTTATTTCGTAAATACATACATATTATACATAGAGAACACCCAGTCCGATACAAACAATGACACTCATGAATATGTACTCATCCTTGTGCCATACGAGGAATCGAACCCGCAACCATCGGAAAAAAACCGGTGTTCTTTACCGCTAGACCACCGAGGCCGTCTTTATATAAATACATATATAATACAAATAGAAAACACCGAAACTAATAATAATTCATCAACCTTTAATTAATTACTGAAATACATTGTTTACTATAATAATAATGAGTGAGTAAATAATAATTTATTCATATATAGTTTTCATCTACGTTTACAATCAAATCTACGTGGAAATTATATTCAAAGCATAATGAACGACTGTGTAGTTACGTGACAAAATCAAATTGAACCACTCCATTGACCCTATAGAGGGAACTCTTGATACTTATAGCTGTAACTGTAACCGCACTGTCGACTATCCTTACTATATTTATATATCATATAATCCCACAATATTTTGTTTTCAATCATATTTGTTTGCGTAATTGCAGACGAAAGAGAAACATATTATAAATTCAAATTTAAATTCAAAAATAATTTATTCATGTAGGACATTTTAGCCGCTTATGAACGGAAAGTTTTTTACATTATAATTTTAATTTTTTTCCTTACTGTCCAGTTCAATATATAGATTCAATTGAGAAGAACTGACAAGAAACTCAATTGAATATATATTCTTAAGACCTTTGTAACCTGTATTCACAAATAAAGAATTTTAATTAGAAATATATTTTTATATAAATATTAATATTAATATCATAAATTTTAAAGTAACTCTGTCTGTCTGTTGCGCTTGCATGCTAAACTACTGAACAGGTAGTCTGAACCTTTTTTTTTAACTTGGGGATAATCTTGGAGACCCGCCCGCTTAGGGGGAGGTAGACGGGTACTACCGGACTCCTACCGGTTAAAAACCCCAAGGTGTTCGTTCTCTTAACTTCTGCAACCCTGATGGCAAGTAAAGACCCTAAGAAAGGATATAGGCGACTTTTTAATGTAAAAAAGGGTTGTAAGAGGATATTGAAGGTTGTATGTAAGAATAGTAACTTTTAAAGCTAGAATCTTGAAATGTATTTTTTAGGTTATTGATTAAATATAAATAAATATGACACTCAAAGTTTGTAAAACTTTTACCCTTAAGAGGTTTAAAATAAGGGATGTTTTTTTAGAAAATACGTCTCATATTGGTTAAATTATTAAATATTTAATGCTATCTAACTCTACACTCACTATTCCACGCGAACGAAATCGCGGACACAGCTAGTTCAAAATTAAACATTTACCTACTTACTTTTTAAAACATACTCATGAATAAAAATGTTTGTACCATGCGAGGAAAGGAACCCGCGACCATTGAAATTATAACGCTATGCTAAATTCTGGACCACCGAAGCCGTCGATATATTATCATAAAAATCTCTCATAAATCAAAGATATAAAAAAAACTATAAAATAACCGTTAATTACTCTGTACAGTTTTTAAGACAAGAATAATAGACGTAGATAAAGAATAATATTTACCAAAGCTACGTTTATCTGTATTAAAATGCTTGGATTACTATTAAAAATGAACTGTCTTATCTCCTATTCACACAAACATCAAATGTCTAACAAATCCAGTTCAGCTATTAATTATACGCTTTCGTCTCATTGTCTCAAATAAAATTCATAAAATGAAAATATTTAAAATTTAATTCTATATACTAACTCAATTTGAATTGGCTTTGGGATTTTATTATATTATATACTAGGTAAATACCGCGGTACCGCACTGTTATTTAAAGTATAGATTAGATGCACCTGCGACTTCGTTCGCGTGGAATTTAACTTTATTTTTCTAAAATAAAAGAATTTTCTAAAATAAAAATAGCCTACTCCTTATTACATCAGCTACCCGCCGTAAAAAGTCCCGTCAAAATCGGTCCAGCCATTTCAGATATTAGCCGGAATAATAGACATACAGACAGACAAAAATTATAAAAAATGTTAATTTGTTGTATATACCATATTTATATTCATATGCATTTAGTAAAAAACGGTTATTTCAATATGACAAACAGACACTCCAATTTTATTTATATGTATAGATATATATAGAGTTATATATCGGTCTCGCACGTGTATAGAGGTATAAATATATGCATATAAACCTTCCGGAACAAAAGCATCATTTCTTTCTGCGCATATTTGACGACCTCGGTGGTCTAGCAGTCTACACCGCTTAACGTCCGATGGTCGCGGGTTCGATTCCTCGCACTGCACAAACATTTGTATTCATGAGTATGATTGTTTGTATCGGTCTGGGTATTTTCTATCTATAATATGTATGTATTTACGAAAAAAAATATCTATCTATTTGTATCAGTTATCTAGTACTCATAACACAAGCTTTAGCTAGCTTAACTTGGGTCTAGATGGCGCTGTGTGGATTGTCCTGAGATTATTATTATTATTATTATTATATTTATAAACTACATAAAGGTATGAAATATGCTTATGTAGAAACTACACAAAGATATGATATCTACATAACATACCTTTTTGTCGTTAAGAAAAAAGCGGAGACACATACAGACTAAACTAGCAACTTTAAACTATATATATTTATGATTATGTAAAAAAAAATTACTTTCGTTACTTTGGGATTTTTAATTACATAACACTGTGTAATTTGATTAGAATAACATAGTTTATATCAATATGTATCATGTAAGACATATCTGCTTCTGTCACATAAATTTTAATATATTATGTTTTGTCTAAGTTTTTTTAATCAATTATTTTTTTTAATTATGACATATGCCAGTATAGAATTTGCGACTATATCCGTATCTTTTTTGATTCACATTCGTTTCCCTCATTTACATGTATATTGCGAAGTCTATTACGTTTGCGACATGTTTTATTTGTATTAAATCAAATTAATATATCTTTATTCATATAGCTCTATTATAGATACTTGAAGTGTATTTTTAACCGTGAAGTATTGGGTATGAACATTGCTCCTATTCAATATTCTGGTCTGTTCTATATTTTAGAAATATACAAGATTACACCTATACGTCGACTTTCCTGAAGACGATGATGTCATGCTTACATCTCCGTACCAAGTTATCTGATTTTGCTTATAAAATTACTTATCCTGACTGACTATTTACGCCCAACTAAAATTACTAAGTCTATAATAGAGACTTTGTAACATAGGTTTACCCTATACGCAAGAATCTGCTAAGAAAGGATTTTTGTAAATAACATCACGCGTGAAAACCCTTAGAGCAATAGTAGAATAGAATAGAATAGAATAGGAAATCATTTATTCAAATAAACTTAATTTAAGCACTTTTGAATAGTCAAAATTTTTTTTTAATCTACCGCTCATTCTGAAAGCTATCTCATCACAAGAACAATAAGCAAGAAACTTATGTGTTGCTCTTTTAAATAATCCTTGTAAGTTCACATTTTACAAGTCGAAACGTGTGAATACAAACTACCAACCAGCACTAATTTATTTAGACTCAAATATAAAAACACAATAAGATTAAATCAGTCGTAGTGATAAGAGCAGACCAGTCCCTACAAGTAGCACTCGTTCACAAATACGACGGATTAGTAAACCATTAAAATTTTCTACAATCACTATATGAATTGAGAAAAATAACTTCAACTAAACGTCCTATCAGATCACAATTTTTCGCACAAACTCTCGTACAGAGAAACAGCATCAACAGTTTTGCGCGCGCCTCGAACCCACCCCAGTTCACCCCTGGCTGCCGAGCGACTCACACGTCTATAGCCTTCGAATGTATACACCGATGAACACCCATTCGTAATACGATAATTCAAATTAAGAACATGTACATTTAAATTTAATTTAATTAATTCCATTTTTAAAAATTGATCGTTTTCGCAATTAAATAATAAACTTTTTTTTTAAGTGGCCAGTGGTACAGTTTATGTTCTTGAAGACAAATGATGTGGTATTTGACAGAAGTGGGGTAGTGAGGGATAGCTGATATCATTGTGATGATGATAAAATGATCATCAGATACACGAGACGACTTTGAACGTGAAACAGCCAGGTAAGTCAGCATATATCATCGCTTTACGGCGTATTATAATTACATATTTGTATAAGAAATATTAAACAGTAACCGGATTTAAAATATAAAATTAATATATTATTTATTAACTTTAAATTTAGTATAAATATATTTATACAGTAAATTACGTTTAATGTAGTAGACATTTATGTTATTACTTCAATTATTATTAAATTGATTTCTCTTATTAACCTTCTTTAGTAGTTGCAAAATATTTTAGAATCGCTTATTTACAATAATAAAAAATGCAAAATGACTTATAAATATACAACTTTGCCTAATTCTTTCCAAGCTCAGCTAATTCCTTATTCTCTGAGGATTTAAGCGAGATTGAAAAGAAATGAAAATTAAAATATAAAAAATATTGTATTTGTTATTTTGGCTTATATATTTATTCTGACTGAGGTTGTAATGTTTGATTTACGGGTTTGTTTGTTTTTCAATCTCTCTTATATAACTGAAGATCATGTGATATAGTTAACTAATTACAATTATAACACGTTTATTGGCAAAAGGAAATATTTCACACATTTGGAATTTATTGAATTACAATTTACCTATTATTTATCATATATATATCACCATATAAAATTATTTATTTAGATATAATACAATTCGATATTCTATCATATATTTTGTTAACTTAAAGGTAGGCCTAGCTCCGTAACAGAAAAAAGAAATAAATAATGAAAAATATATTAATTTTGCGAATATTGTTTACTAAGCATATATAATCTCCAGTAATAATTTTTTTTTATTTTGTCTATATATTTTCATAAAATTGGTTTATATAATTCTTCCATATATACAATTATATCCATCCAGAAATATAGACCATAACTTTTTTTTGTCTATTTATTTATATATTTGCATTTCATAAAACAATTATGGTTTATATATTATACGTGGGCTGCCTTTTAAGTTGTGTCGTTTGAAATAAGTATAGATAATCTAATAGATCATTATCAAAAAATATTCAATTAATATTTTGCATACGTTCAAACCAGTTTTTAAAACATTTATTCCACTGAAATCAACAGCTAGAAACGTTGACCACGAAGACTTTTCTTAATTTTGGGAAACGTAAAAAAATCGTTATTAAGTCACTGATCCAAAATTTCGACATTTTGGGTGCTCAAAAAATCTTTGATTGACGGGCGGTGTGCGAACTTGCATTGTCATGGTGCAGTATCATATCTTGAATTGTTTTTCGAAATTCGGTGATAACTTGTTTATACCAGTCAGCGGTATCTTGCAATCTTCTAGTACAATAGTGGCGACATGACCACCCTTTGCCACAAACGAGGCAACCATTTTTTTTTATTACAGCGAATGATTTTGGTCGGTTTTGGCTGATCCTGGAAGACCCAAACAGTTGACTGCTACTTAGAATCTGGATCGTAACCATATATCCAAGACTCGTCACCACTAACCATATCATAAACATGCTTTGACTGTCCTCCGTTGAATCGCTGCAGATTTTACCAACTAACACAGGCTGTTTTTTGGTCGTCGCTAAGCAAATGTGGTATCCAACGAGAGATCAGCTTTCTTATGCTAAGTTCTCCGTGCAGGATTTTTTGGACAGTGGTCCCTGAAATGTCCAATGAAATACTTCGAGTTAGCGTTAACCGCATTTTAATTCTTGCGTCATGGCGGTTTTTACGACCTTCACGTGGCTTGTCACTAAATTCTATTACCATCGTTCTATAGTCCTACGACATGGTGCTACATCAGCAAACACAGAAGATTTCTGCACTGAAGTCGCGACATTATTATTATGATTTCCATTTTTACAACTGACTTGTCACCTTTGAATAGACTACAATAAAACTATTCGACCAATCTGAAAACATTCTTTTGTTTTCGAAAATCAAAAAGATGTAAATGCCATATGCTTTTTTTTTTAATAAACGCGGGAAAACAGACTTAAAAGGCAGCCTAGGTAAGAGCACCATGGACCCTGATGGGCGCAGCAAGCTACAATGAGATACAAACAGAATTTAATTATTTTTCTAATTGATCTGTATACATTATTATTATAGACTATTCTCTGTATGCAGTTTAAAATCCATGTAAACAACAGATATGCAGAGTTAAACTAGTAATAAAAGTAAACGCTGAAAACTGATTAAATTGTCTTTGTTCTCTTTACAATTAACCTTGTATGGGATAACCACATATGCTCATTTGTAAAGACATAATCATAAAACTTAAACACTACCAACTACATAGGTCATTTTGTTAGTGAAAATTTTATTTTATTTTTTTAAATACATACATAAAATACATAAGAGGCACTTAGACAATATAAACAATCATACTCTTGAATACACATATTTGTAAATGGAATCAAATCCGAAATATCAGAAAGAAGAGGGTTTGTTAAACACTAAAACACCAAGGCGTAAATGAACTTTTCATACAAAATTCATCACATAAAGTCAGGATGTAGAGGTCACAACTTCTCATTCCTAAGAAAGATTTCACATTCCAACAAGCGACATTACGCTTAATTATGTATTAGATAAAGCTCTTAATCCTATTCATGCTATAGGCGAAGGTTCACGACATATCAGGTGATCTGCCATTCGAATTGGCAGTGAAATTACCTGGAATAACAGCTTATCAATTAGGAATGCCAGCATCTAAGGCGCAAACACCGCCACATGATAACGTGATGTCTTTGTCGCAACATTTGAGGAGTGACTACGAGCATTATATGATGACGTGATATCTTTAGCGGTATATATATACGACGGCCACACCGCCTTACTTCCGATGGTCACGGGTTCGATTCCTTCTACGGCACAAACATTGATATTCATACAGTTACTATGTGGCGGCATGGTGGGCCGGGTCATTGGGCTCCCTAAAATATGGTCGAGTGCAGTGATGATTGGCTCATCGGTCATACTCGAGAGCGGGTGCTGCTTGTAGGGACTGGTCTGCTCTAATCACTATTACTAATTTCCTGTTATCAAATGTTTAACCAGTTGGTTATATATTCAATATTTTTCCTATTTGAGTATTTAATTGAATTAGTGCTAATTGGTGGTTTGTATTCACACACTTAAACTTAAAAATGTAAAGTAATAATAAAATTATTTAAAAGAGCAACACGCAAGTTTCTTGCTCGTTCTTCTTGTGATGAGACAGCTTTCCGAATGAGCGATAGATTAAAAAAAAATGTAATGATTATTCAAAAGTGCTTCAATGTAAGTTTATTTGAATAAATGATTTTCTATTCTATTCTATTCTATGTTTGTATCGGTCTGGGTGTTTTCTATGTATAATATGTATGATTTACGAATTAAAAAACTATGTATTTGTATAAGTTATCTAGTACCCACAAGCTTTAGCTTAACTTGGGTCTAGATGGCACTGTGTAAATTATCCTGAGATTATTATTATTATTATATATAAGACACGTATGCTCCTTATCACCAAGATCATTGCTAATACGATTATATAAAAAAAATCAATAAATTACTTCAAAATTGTAATTACCTATTACAAAGTAACTGTATCTCATCTTACAATGTTAATTTAAAAGCGGAAGCTTGAAGTCGTTAAAAATAATCCCACATCAAAGGGTCATTAATTAAATTAATTAAAGATGAAGGAAAACACTCAACCTGTACATGATTTTGTAAAAATATTCTTAGTATTATAAATAAACATTGCTGAATTTTAATTTCATATCATTAATTTTCTGTATTCTTTTGTTTTATCTCTTAAATCGATAAAGGTTGTGCAACAATTTAGGAGTTACTTCTTCTTACTTCCATTGGTCGCAAGTTCGAATACACTAAAACAACCACAAATACAAACAATTATATTCATGAGTACGTCTGTGTGTAAATCGTGTTTTTACATATACAATGAGTTTAATTACAAAAAATGTATTTAAGTTATATGAAATTATTAAAAAAGTGCATATAAAAAAACCTAATATAGTCTGATATGTGGCACTTCTTCCACCGTCCGTGATGCTATATTCGAGCTCTAATCAATGCCTGATAATATTGGTTCAGAGGCGAAATGTATCAAAATGGGTATAGACTTAGTAACAGTCAGATTATGATCATCAATAGAGAAGGTCGTAATCTTCCAGTAGTGGTCAGGTTTTCACACTGAATATTTGTGGTCGCACATAGAGTCTGGTGGTAGCGGAATTAATAAATATATATATGAACCTATTAAAGATGGCAATTTAAAATAAAATTTATTTACTCGTATTTTTTTATATTTATTAGGTCTACAAAACTGGATGTCTTACATAGTACATAACTTAATACACATAAAACAAACTATATAAGTAACACATCCTTCTAGATGTAGACACAGCATGCATAACTTAATTTTTACACACACAAAATGACACTATACAATAATAATTTGCATTAATAGAGAATTATGTTATAAAGCTTTCTTGTATTTCAAGAAAATTACAATTTAATGTCCGTTTAATATTACTGACTGATGCACCGAAAATATCACTGTCTGACATTATTGTAATTCTCACACATTCGATATACCGTGGAGTATTTGCCATAGTTAGTTCTACACTTGGGGAGATTAAAAGTTTTTATGTATTAACACACAAACAGTAACGACATAAAAAAAATACAAACAACAATATACAGATATTATAAAACAGAACAACTGAGCATAATCGTGGAAACTACGTTTCTATTTAAATACTGTATTAAATTTGTCGCTATCATTATTTATACGTACAATTAGAAAAAATCACGAGATCTTACCACTTTTTATTTCCTTTAATCGAGTTCCCGATACTTCGACGGTGTTTCAATCGCCATGATCACGGGTAAAATCAAGAGCAACGAGTTGATGGCCAGCGAATCATCACAATTTGCTTACTACTGAATTCCTGATAAATTATTAAATATTTATATACCTCATATCTATAATACGAATAACGTATGAGACATTGCATAATACGTGAGAAAACA